ACATTAATGAGTACTAGATTTCATTGAATAATTAGTTGGATACTCTTGGTGTTAACATTATTTTCTTCCATTAAGTTATTTTAATTCAGGTAGTTTATGTTTGATGTGGTTGTTTTGCAGTGTTTCGCCATTGCTTTTGATAAAAGTATGATGAGTTCTTTTTAGTAAGATTTATTTACTGTAAAAGATGTAACTTTTAAAAAGTATACTCAATCAGTAATAAACACAAAAAGAAACTAATAATGTATTTCGTTGCTTTTAATTTACCATATATAATGTGTGTTTCAGCTATCAAATAGTGCTTTCCATTGGTTTTAATACAACTATGCTATATTTTTTGGTTAAATTACTAAATTACAACATTTTTCATTGTTATAAAAACAATTGTGATATGAGTTTTGAATTTTTTTTTCATGGCTTGCAATCCAAGTAGAATAGGTGCATTGTTTGTTTTGAAATGTTTTTTATCGTTTGTAATACAACTGTTGTGTTTCAGTATAGTTCATTAATGGTACTATAAATATGATGTGTCTTTGTTACTTTACACCATTTTTCATCATTGTTCATGCAATTATATTATGGATTTTCTAGGTATCTTGTACCTTATGTAATACCACTATCCATGAGTCTCCTATATGGTTAGAAGAAGAAGGTCATATAAAGGACTTCTGTAGCACAGACTGTTTACAAAAATACAGACTTAAGGAGTGCAGTAATCCCCAGTCAGTGTCACATGAGTCTAAAGGAAAACAATCAAATGGGGCACATCGGTATGAAAGTACAGGTAAATATATCATCAGGTATAATGAGTTTTAATAATGACTATTATTAATGTTCTATTTGTTTCCAGAGATAATAGTCTTGTTTGGTTGTTTGTAATTAAGCACAAAGCTACACAGTGGGCTATCTGTGCTCTGCCCACCATGGGTATCGAAACCCGGATTCTAGTGTTGTAAGTTTGCAGACATACTGCTGTGCCACTGGGGGGCTACTGGTCTTGAGGTGAGTTGTCTTTTTTATTTTCAGGTAATGTGAATTGAATAATTTACAAGGAAAAAAATTAATAAAGTAAAAAACAACAACATCCAAGCAGGAAAAAGATGTGAGAAAATATATTTAATTCAGAAATGCAACTTACTTCTCTACACTAATGGTTATTACCAGTCTTGTACAAACTTCCACTCCCACACATGTGTATGACATAATCATCATAATTCTGTAAATCTCCACCAATAGGAGGGTGACAAATCACTATGCACAGTAATTCCCATGAGAACTAACACTAGATCATAAGTTCATTCTTTCCTCAGCACTGCCTGTGTACCATCGTCTTTTTTTGTTCCATTGATCTGATTTACTTTATTTTCTATTGCCACGACATATCTACTTTATGTTACTTTCAACATGTGACAACAACAAAAAACTAATTTAAAAAATCATCTTGAGGTGCAGACATTCAACAGTGAATGGAGGCATCTTATATGTTCATAGAACCAATGTTCAGTTGTTATCCCTTTAACTCACCTATGGATGAATTTGGCAGCTCTTCCACCTCCAGCCTTTGCTTCTGGCACTTCTTTTCCTGGTAAGGCTAAGGTAGCTCTTTTTATGTTTGCTACACTGATAAATCAGGTTTGTGTTATTCTGTTTCATTTCTGTTTTATAACGACTCTTTAGTTGTTTTCACTTCATGATCAAGCCTCCTTCTGTCTCACCTCTACTTTGTTCTTCATCTTTCATGCTCTACTCATCTTTGTGATTCATTTGCTGTGGCCTCAGGTCATGGTCCTTTTATATTTCTGGAACCTCAATCTTTTGTGTTTTTTTGTCTGCTTGGGGTGCTCCTCTTTGTTCTTCTTTTTCTTTTCTGGTATATTCTCATCTTCATTTATCTTTACCTCACTCCTTAGATTTATCTTCACCTCCTCAATGAGGCTCTTCATTATAACCACAATGGTTTTGATGGAGGAGACCCATTCTTTGTTAGCCATTTTGGCTTCTGTTTCTTCTCTGTTGTCTCTATTTTGACCTGGTTTCCTTGTTTGTAGGATCTCCTCAATTGGTTTTTCCTTTTTTATGTTCACATTCCTTTTCTCTTATATTAGTGACCTTTATCCCATCCCTTATTCTTACAGACCAGCTCTTTTGGGGTGTTCCAGACTTTTGGAATCCTGAGCAAAGGCTTTTCTCCAGCAGTTTTCTATTCTTTCCTTGGTTTCTCATATCACTATTCCTAGGGTACCTCTATGTGCTATTTATTCCTGGGAGTCACATCAGGCTCACCACTCTTGAGCTTGTCAACTTCTTCAATCACTGTTTTCAGGTCATCTCGTGTTTATCCATTTGGACGTGTTAGGTATTAGAATTTCAAATAGTCTGAAGCCGAGTTAACTGATAGTTTAAATTTAGTAATTAACTGTACTTTGGATTTAGTATTAAATCTATGCCGATATATTAGTCAATTTACAATACTTGCCAAGATTGATACACACCATTTTCGTTTTTAACACAAATATGTTTTAATATACACACAACAGTACAATTTACAATAACAATTATTACAAATAGTTACGACAAATAATGATTTTTAAACAGAAGTTTCACAAACTTACAAACAATATAAAGTTTTCTTTCTAGTCTGGAACCTCTTTGATATCTTATCGAGGATTCATGATGAGTGAGTTAATTACGAGTTGACGGAGATATATTTCACTTAACGGGAAGCTAGCTGGCTTTGTCTCTCACTGATCACACAACGATTTGATTTTTCCACCATTGAAGTTAGGTAATGTTTTCATAAAAATACTAATGTCCGATGAGAATCCACTGAAGTTAAATCATTTGTAATGCCCGAAATTTATAAATATTCCTGGTCAGATATATTAAGTTTTACAATTGATAAGCGTTATAAAAATCATAGTTATAGCTTTCAAAGCTTTATAGCACACTGACTATAGCGATCTGTTTGCGTATCTGCTCGTTTCATAATTTCCTTAATTTCTGCTATAAATTCTTTCGGATGAACTTCAGCGATACAAGCCCTTTCTTAACTAAAACTAGTTTATTCTTTCTCGATACAACTTTGTA